TGTTAGTTCTGGGATCACTACAACTGTTAGTTCTGGGATCACTACAACTGTTAGTTCTAGGATCACTACAACTGTTAGTTCTGGGATCACTACAACTGTTAGTTCTAGGATCACTACAACTGTTAGTTCTGGGATCACTACAACTGTTAGTTCTGGGATCATTACAACTGTTAGTTCTGGGATCACTAATTTTAGTTCTGGGATCACTACAACTGTTAGTTCTGGGATCACTAGTGTTAGTTCTGGGATCACTAGTGTTAGTTCTGGGATCACTACAACTGTTAGTTCTGAGATCACTACAACTGTTAGTTCTGGGATCACTAATTTTAGTTCTGGGATCACTACAACTGTTAGTTCTGGGATCACTAATTTTAGTTCTGGGATCACTACAACTGTTAGTTCTGGGATCACTAGTGTTAGTTCTGGGATCACTACAAGTGTTAGTTCTGGGATCACTAAAGGTGTTATTTCTGGGATCACTACAAGTGTTAGTTCTGGGATCACTAGTGTTAGTTCTGGGATCACTTCAGGTGTTAGTTCTGGGATCGCTAGTGTTAGTTCTGCGATCACTAGTGTTAGCTCTGGGATCAATAGTGTTAGTTCTGAGATCAATAGTGTTAGTTCTGGGGTCACTACAAGTGTTAGTTCTGGGTTCACTACTGTTAGTTCTGGGATCACTAGTGTTAGTTCTGGGATCACTACAGGTGTTAGTTCTGGGATTACTACAAGTGTTAGTTCTGGGATCACTAGTGTTAGTTCTGAGATCACTACAGGTGTTAGTTCTTGGATCACTAGTGTTAGTTCTGGGATCACTACTGTTAGTTCTGGGATCATTAGTGTTAGTTCTGGGATCACTACTGTTAGTTCTGGGATCACTACAAATGTTAGTTCTGGGACCACTACAGGTGTTAGTTCTGGGATCACTACTGTTAGTTCTGGGATCATTAGTGTTAGTTCTGGGATCACTACTGTTAGTTCTGGGATCACTACAAATGTTAGTTCTGGGACCACTACAGGTGTTAGTTCTGGGATCACTACTGTTAGTTCTGGGATCATTAGTGTTAGTTCTGGGATCACTACTGTTAGTTCTGGGATCACTACAAATGTTAGTTCTGGGACCACTACAGGTGTTAGTTCTGGGATCACTACTGTTAGTTCTGGGATCATTAGTGTTAGTTCTGGGATCACTACTGTTAGTTCTGGGATCACTACAAATGTTGTTTGGACATAGGTTTAGTTCTGGGATCACTACTGTTAGTTCTGGGATCATTAGTGTTAGTTCTGGGATCACTACTGTTAGTTCTGGGATCACTACAAATGTTAGTTCTGGGACCACTACAGGTGTTAGTTCTGGGATCACTACTGTTAGTTCTGGGATCATTAGTGTTAGTTCTGGGATCACTACTGTTAGTTCTGGGATCACTACAAATGTTAGTTCTGGGACCACTACAGGTGTTAGTTCTGGGATCACTACTGTTAGTTCTGGGATCACTACAAATGTTAGTTCTGGGACCACTACAGTTGTTAGTTCTGGGATCACTACTGTTAGTTCTGGGATCATTAGTGTTAGTTCTGGGATCACTACTGTTAGTTCTGGGATCACTAGTGCTAGCTGATGACAGGGTTGTGTTCTCGATTACTCCAGGCAGTCATAGATGACAGTACTGGTCAGGTTAACGTCAAGCACTGCCGCAGGATTTATCTACATGGCTGGTGTACAGAACACCTGGCTGGTCTACAGAACACCTGACTGGTTGGCAGAACACATAGCTAGTCTACAAAACACATGACAGGTCTCTAAAAATGGCTGGTCTACAGAACACAGGGGTAGTCTACAGAACACGTTGCTAGCCTACAGAACACATGAATGACCTACAGAACACATGGATGGCCTACAGAACACATGGTTGGCCTACAGAACACATGGTTGGCCTATAGAACACATGAATGGCATACAGAACACATGGTTGGCCTACAGAACACATGGCTGGCCTACAGAACAATGGCTGGTCTACAGAACACATAGCTAATCTACAGAACACATGGCTGGTTTACAGAACACATGGCTGGTCGACAGAAAATATGACTGATCTACATAACACATGATTGGCCTACATAACACATGGCTGGTCTACAGAACACATAGCTAATCTACATAACACATGATTGGCCTACATAACACATGGCTGGTCTACAGAACACATAGCTAGTTTACAGAACACATGACTGGTCTACAAAACACATGGCTGGTTTACAGAACACATAGCTAGTCTACAGAACACATGGCTGGTTTACAGAATACATGGCTGTTCAACAGAACACATGGCTGGTCTACATAACAAATGGCTGATGTACAGAACACATGGCTGGTCTACAAAAAACACATTTCTGCTCTACACATACAAATGGCTGGTCTACAAAACAAACGGCTGGTCTACAAACACATGGCTGGTCTATAGAAAACATAGCTGGTCTACCGAACACCTGGCTGGCCTACAGAACACATGGCTGGTCTACACAGACACATGGCTGGTCTACAGAACACCTGGCTGGCTTACAGTGCACGCATGTACACAGTGCACTGCTGTAATTACCCAGACGGTGCACGCACCTTATTTTGCTGTGAGCTTTTAGTGCGTTGTGAGAGATCATTCCTGTAATAACAATGGTTGTGTTACTTGTTCATGCTGACGAGTCACGCGCGGACCTCGACCCACACACTCGCCTTCTGCTCTCCTGTCTGATATATGGGTCTACAGGGGTGTATATATATAGATATATATATATATATATATATATATATATATATATATATATATATATATATATATATATATATATATATATATGGGTGTGCATATATATCGCGAGACATGCACTGAGAGGTGCATGTCTAGCAGATTGTATACGTCAAGAGTTGTGTATATCTCTGGATGTATTCAGTGTGTATATCGTGAGAGCAGAAATATATTCGGGACGCTCTTGCCATCTCAAGTTTATTTTGCACTTCATCCACGCCTGCGGGAGGGAGATCCTATTAATTTACTGCACTCGAAGGCAGTGTCCCAGCATCTACCGTCATGCAGTTCTTCCCACAGGATAGGTAGACGTATCTATCACCCTTATATAGCGTAACGGGAACCAGGGACGCGGCTATTGTTGCCATGACAGGTATCCTACAACAGCACTACTGTAGTAGTCTACAGTGCCAGAGTGATTCAGGTGGTTCTCTGGGGGTCACCATGATGACCAAGATTGGACCGAAACGTCGCCATAAGTTTCTTTTTCCAATGTGCGAGTTATTTGTGTATAAACACTGTATTAGTGGTTAAGTAATTAGAGAACTAATTTTTATATTTTTGTTAGTGGGTTTGGGCTTGAGAAGGACTTGCCTAGTATGGGCCAGTAGGCCTGTTGCAATGTTCCTCCTTTTTTTGTGTTCTTAAGGTCTACGCTGGAGAGACAGGGCGTGGTCTATGACTAGTTTTCAAGAACACAAATAAGTGAGTGAGATGGATGGTGCTATCAACCGGTGTATTATCCATGGCAGGCTACTCTCCCACCTCATGAAATGGGAGTAATTCCTTTCTCCATCATACCACTGGAAGGCTGGACAGTAACCAAACACTGAGGGAACGTTTAGACATGCGGCCTCTGGTAGCTGGACAAGTACAGTATCAGCCGTCATAGCCTTTAAAAACACCATCAACAACACGACCAACTGAGGAACAGTACAGCAAGTGTTTCAGGAGAATTACAGAACCAAAAGCAGGAGTCTCAACGCGGTCACCATCGTGCAGAACCAAGGTATGTGCTGGCTGGACCCATCACTCACTCCATGACTTACATGGACTATGTCACCCATTACTCGCCCCTTACTTTACCTCATTGACCTCACTTCTTACTCATCCCTGAGCCTTTATCTCCCCGACTTTCCCTTTAACTTCTGCCCTAGACGACACGTTCTAGCAGTGGATAAAGGTATTCCTGAGGCAGTAATAAGGCATCCCTGTGGTAGTGAGGAAAGTATTCCTGTGGGAGTAACACAGCATCCCTGTAGCAGTGATGTAGGTATCCCTGTGTTAGTAGCTAGGTATCCCAGTAGCAGTGATGAAGATATCTCTAAAACTTAGTTTCTTTTTCTTCAGAGGAAACAGTGGACGAGAGAGAGAGAGGACGAAAGAGGAGGAGAAAGATGAGAGAGAGAGGAGCGTGGGAGAGAAGACGAGGAAAGAAGAGAGGAGACGAAGAGGGAATGAGGGCAGGGGGGGGGAGAGGAGATTGGGAGAGGGCAGAGGGAGGAAGAATGAAGAGAAAATATAATTCTGGAGAAGTAAATCAGGTGAGAGGTGAGGCAATATTTACACAGCTCATATGTGGCAGTGGGAGGGAGGGAGGGAGGAAGAGAGAGGAGGGATGCAACGGGGGATGGAAGGAGGGAGGGAGGGGAGGGAGTGGAGGGAGGGAGGGAGTTAAGGAGGGAGAGAGGGAGCAGGGGAGACAAGAAACAAGGAGCGTCCGATTGGTAGCTTGTAGGCTTTTAAGGGAAGTAATTAATTCTCTCTATCTCTGTCTCTCTCTCTGTCTCTCTCTCTCTCTCTCTCTCTCTCTCTCTCTCTCTCTCTCTCTCTCTCTCTCTCTCTCTCTCTCTCTCTCCCTCTTTTTCACAGAGATGCAGGAGAGTATTGGGTTGCCTGCCTAGCTGTTGGTGCTAGCCGCACGCAATGAAACGCATGCAGAGATAGATAGATAGATGGTTAGATAGAGATAGATAGATAGGTAGATAGATAGATAGATAGATAGATAGATAGATAGATAGATAGATAGATAGATAGAGAGAGAGAGAGAGAGAGAGAGAGAGAGAGAGAGAGAGAGAGAGAGAGAGAGAGAGAGAGAGAGAGAGAGAGAGAAAGAGAGATAGATAACATACAAGTGTTGGTTGAAGAGACTCAAACAAGGTAATAATATTGTAAAATCTCCTATATTTTTACTAGTGCCATCTACTGGCGCCATGTGTTGATGCTGGTGCTATCTGCTGGTGCCATCTGCTGGTGCCATCTGCTTGGCTTTGACAAAAAACGGCACTGGTAGCACTCTAGCGACACTGAATGACTTCTGAAAGCACTCTGGCGGCACTGAATGACATTTGAGAGCACTCTGGTGGCACTAAATGACATTTGAGAGCACTCTGGCGGCACTGAATAACATTTGAAATCACTCTGGTGGCACTGAATGACATTTGAGAGCACTCTGGTGGCACTGAATAACATTTGAGAGCACTCTGGTGGCACTAAATGACATTTGAGAGCACTCTGGTGGCACTAAATGATATTTGAAATCACTCTGGTGGCACTGAATGACATTTGAAATCACTCTGGCGGCACTAAATGACATTTGAGAGCACTCTGGTGGCACTAAATGACATTTGAGAGCACTCTGGTGGCACTAAATGATATTTGAAATCACTCTGGTGGCACTGAATGACATTTGAAAGCACTCTGGTGGCGGCGTTGCTGACTATTTTCACGATCAATGGGTTGGTGGTTGGTGGCTCTTAAGAAGACGAGGTAAAATGGACCTCCATCATGGCTTTCATGTGTCGATGGCGGTGAAGAGGAGGCTAATATGTCTGTCTATCTGTGTGTTTCTGTCACTTGCTGTCTGTCTGTGTCAATAGCTGTCTGCCTTGTCTTATTCTGTTTTCCACCGTCTGTTTGTTTCTTGCGCTATGTTCTTAGGTTTCGCCTGTTTCCGTCTATAACTCTCTATCTCTCTCTCAACCTGTCTCTTAAAGAACGCCTGTCATTCTTTCTTATTCATTTGTTGTTGTTATACCAGCAATATATATGTGAAGAACCAGTACAACACACATCTTGCTTCTATTTCCCGTCCTCCTCCTCCGCCTCCCTTCCATCTGATTCGTTTCTGTGAACATCCATGGGAGATAAGGCAAATCTCCCTCCCCTCCCCCCCCGTCCCCAGCAGAACGAGCGCTCGCTGAACGTAATTTCGCTTAGCAGACGGGGCAAGACGTCGGAACGTGTTCCGGGACATCACCGGGGAGTCATAATCACCATCAAGGATATCAACATGAAGGACGTCACCGAGGTCTCTGGGTCCTGGGCCCGAGGTCTCCCAGCTGGACCGTCTCTCGGAGTTAAGTCAAGTTGACGGATGGAGTTACCATCACGCTGCTCACTATTCTCCTCGCACGAGCTTGTACAATGAAAACAACTACGGTATTACTACTTCTACTACTACTGCTGTTAGTATCACTACCACTTCTACTGCTGCTACTACTACTAATAATAATAACAATAACAACAACAATAATAATAATAATAATAATAATAATAATAACAATCACATCGGCAACTGTGGATAAGATTAAAATAGGCTGAAGAGTGAGAGAGAGAGAGAGAGAGAGAGTGAGAGGAGAGAGAGAGAGAGAGAGAGAGAGAGAGAGAGAGAGAGAGAGAAGAGAGAGAGAGAGAGAGAGAGAGAGAGAGAGAGAGAGAGAGAGAGAGAGAGAGAGAGAGAGAGAGAGAGAGAGTCTTTAACATACTGTTCATGTAGAAAAAATCAGCCTTTGTGAACTGTTAACACAATACTAACTGAACACAGTACTGACTGAACACAGTACTAACTGAACACAGTACTGACTGAACACAATGCTGGCTGAACACAGTACTTACTGAACACAGTACTAACTGAACACAGTACTGACTGAACACAATGCTGGCTGAACACAGTACTTACTGAACACAGTACTAACTGAACACAGTACTGACTGAACACAATGCTGGCTGAACGCAGTACTAACTGAACACAGTACTAACTGAACACAGTACTGACTGAACACAGTACTAACTGAACACAGTACTGACTGAACACAATGCTGGCTGAACGCAGTATTAACTGAACACAATACTGACTGAACACAGTACTAACTGAGCACAATACTGACTGAACATAGTACTTACTGAACACAATACTGACTGAACACAGTACTGACTGAACACAATGCTGGCTGAACGCAGTACTAACTGAACACAGTACTGACTGAACACAGTACTAACTGAGCACAATACTGACTGAACATAGTACTTACTGAACACAATACTGACTGAACACAGTACTGACTGAACACAGTACTAACTGAGCACAATACTGACTGAACACAGTACTTACTGAACACAATACTGACTGAACACAGTACTAACTGAACAGAAGTACTGACTGAACACATTACTGACTGAACACAGTACTGACTGAACACAATGCTGGCTGAACACAGTACTAACTGAACACAGTACTGACTGAACATAGTACTTACTGAACACAATACTGACTGAACACAGTACTGACTGAACACATTACTGACTGAACACAGTACTGACTGAACACAATGCTGACTGAACACAGTACTAACTGAGCACAATACTGACTGAACATAGTACTTACTGAACACAATACTGACTGAACACAGTACTGACTGAACACATTACTGACTGAACACAGTACTAACTGAACACAGTACTGACTGAACACAATGCTGGCTGAACACAGTACTAACTGAACACAGTACTAACTGAACACAGTACTGACTGAACACAATACTGACTGAACACAGTACTAACTGAACACAGTACTAACTGAACACAGTTCTAACTGAACACAATACTGACTGAACACAAAATTCACTGAACACAATGCTGACTGAACACAATACTGACTGAACACAATACTGACTGAACACAAAACTCACCGAACACAATTCTGACTGAACACAATGCTGACTGAACACAATACTGACTGAGCGCAATGCTGACTGAACACAATACTGACTGAACACAATACTGACTGAACACACTACTAACTAAGCACAATGCTGACTGAACACAATACTGACTGAACACAATACTGACTGAACACAATGCTGACTGAACACAATACTGACTGAACACAATACTGACTGAACACAGTACTGACTGACGACAGTGGCAAGGAACAGGTTCAAATCCTCTTTCTTCTTGACGTGAAGAGGGTGAAGTTGTTGACGTTCTCGTAGACGCTGAGACGTCTTACGCACCAGTCGTTCGTGAAGGCGGATTATCATCTGGGCTCACGGACGTGTTGTGGATTTCATTTTTTGGTAAAATAATATTTGTCATTTTTTTAACACGCAGACCGTCTCCCACCCACGTATGACGAGACGAGAAAGAATAGACACTTTTACCATCACTTATTCCATCACTGCCTTGACAGAAGCAAGCTGATATAGTTCAGGTGATCCCCGCCCCTTCGTCAGAGAGTAGACACTGCTCTTCCCACCTCCAGGACTCAAGTCTAGATAACCGATTTCCGTAAATCCCTTCATAAATATTGCCATGCTTAGATCCCAACAGCGCGTCATATCATTAAAAATAACCGCTTGCTTCCACTCACTCGTACCTAAGACGCTGCCGCACGTTTGTTAGATGTCCAAGCCCCCTCGTAATCAAAACATCCTTTAACATTTCCCTCCAAATTTCCCAGGACGACAACTACGCTTCCTTTATCTTCAGTTCAGATTTATACAACTTCCTAGTCATCCTATTTTGCTCCATCCTCTCTAAATGTCCATACCACCTCAACAGCACCTCACCGACTCACTGAATAACTCTATTGGTAACATGACAACTTCGTCTAATCCCTCAGACACGACATCTTCACTGTTTCCAGCCCCTTCTTCGCTGCATCGTTGAAAACCCATGCTTCACACCTATATAAGAGTGTTCGTACCACTATACACTGGAATATTCCCACTTTTGCCTTCATATATATAAATATAATATATATATATATATATTATATATATATATATATATATATATATATATATATATATATAATATATATTTATATTATATATATATATAACACACAACACACACACACACAATATGAACAAACACGCAGAGGAGCCAGAAGCTGTGAATCAACCCCTGCAGCCACATACAGGTAAGTATACACAGGCTGTTACACTCACATATATTCGTAATTAATTAAACACCTGTACGAGGTAACACAAAAGCCCTAAAATTAAATCCTGATAATAAGCGTGAAATTATTACCACCACAAATATTACAATGGAGAATAACGCTGCCAAGTAACATTGTTAAATGTTTAATTATTTACAATAATAAATTAAGCTTTATATATATATATATATATATATATATATATATATATATATATATATATATATATATATATATATATATATATGGAAGAGATAATTCCACTATTCTTAATGTCTTGTTCCGCTCTATGTGTCTTGAGGTCACCCATGTTCATCAGCACTCTGCCTTCTTATCATTCCTCTCCTCCTGATTCATGATCTTCCTAGTGTCTTCTCCTGGTTCATGATCTTCCTCGTGTCTCCTGGTTCATGACCTTCCTCGTGTCTCCTCCTGGTTCATGATCTTCATCGTGTCTCCTCCTGGTTCATGATCTTCCTCGTGTCTCCTCCTGGTTCATGATCTTCCTCGTGTCTCCTCCTGGTTCATTATCTTCCTCGTGTCTCCTCCTGGTTCATTATCTTCCTCGTGTCTCCTCCTGGTTGATGATCTTCCTTGTGTCTCCTACTGGTTCATGACCTTCCTCGTGTCTCCTCCTGGTTGATGATCTTCCTTGTGTCTCCTCCTGGTTCATTATCTTCCTCGTGTCTCCTCCTGGTTCATGATCTTCCTTGTGTCTCCTCCTGGTTGATGATCTTCCTTGTGTCTCCTCCTGGTTGATGATCTTCCTCGGGCCTCCTCCTGGTTCATGATCTTCCTCGTGTCTCCTGGTTCTTGATCTTCCTCGTGTCTCCTCCTGGTTGATGATCTTCCTTGTGTCTCCTCCTGGTTCATGGTCTTCCTCGGGCCTCCTCCTGGTTCATAATCTTCCTAGTGTCTCCTCCTGGTTCATGACCTTCCTCGTGTCTCCTGGTTCATGATTTTCCTCGTGTCTCCTCCTGGTTCGTGACCTTCCTCGTGTCTCCTCCTGGTTCATAAGAACATAAGAACATTAGAAAGAAGGAACCCTGCAACAGACCTACTGACCCAAGCGCAGCAGGTCCATGTTTCCCCCCCCCCCGGATTATCCCAATGACCCACCCAGCCTGGTCATCTCCACTCAAGGATGGAGCACTGCACCAGACCCAGCAGCACAAGCTAGTCAGGTCAACTCACACCCACCCACACCCACTCATGTATTTATCTAGCCTATTTTTAAAACGACACAACGTTTTAGCCTCAATAACTGTACTCGGGAGTTTGTTCCACT